CTCTGGCGAGGCACCACGTATACGGTAAAACGCCCTAAGCGAAACCGCGTTAAGCGGGGTATTACTGTGTGTGTGTGTATATATATATATATATATATATATATATATATATCTATCATGTAAATCCACAATGAAAACGTGGATAAGATAAATCTTGATAAAATCACACGGGAAAATGGAAACCTTGGGAGTATATATATATATATATATATATATATATATATATATATATATATATATATATATATATATATATATATATATATATATATATATATATATATATATATATATATATATATATATATATATATATATATATATATATATATATATATACACACACACACACACACACACACAGTATTACACGCCCTAACGGCGGTTTCACTTAGCAACGTTTTGTATCATATCTTGTGATTGCCTGTCCAAACTGAACTTTTCACTTAACGGTTTTCACATATCTGCGGTGAGTGTCATTTTCGAGGCGACTATTTTGAATTTGCTTACCCGCCACCTGCTTTGTTTCCTGTTTTAATGTAAAATTCATACAAATTACCCGGCCAGAATATAATTTACATTGCTGGAATTCTTATAATTTGGTGATCATTTTGAATATAAACATCATATATTTGGATTAGACATACAAATTTTAGATAAAAATTTTTCTCAGAGTAACTATGTTATCTTTTGTGCAAAATATATGACATTTATATTCAAAATATTCCTGGTCTTACAAGAAATCCAGCAATGTCAATTATATTATCCTAACTTTAGTTTGAGGTATTATTTATTAAAATTTAGTGGTTATCCCACACATCTCCTTGGGACGGTTGGTGGGGGGTGGGGGGGAGGGAGGGACCGACCATCTGTTACTACGTGAAAATTATTATTTTTTATTAACTGAAGATATTTGTTTTATTTTCATAAAATTCATACAAATTACCGGTCACAAGACTATAATTTACATTTGCTGAATTCTTATAATTTGATGATCATTTTGAATATAAACATCATAGACTTTGCATTAGACATACAAATTTTAGATGTAATGTTTACTCTTGAGTAAATATGTTATCTTTTGTGCAAAATATATGACGTTTATATTCAAAATATTCCTGGTCTTACAAGGAATCCAGCAATGTCAATTATATTATCCTAACTTAAATCTGAGGTATTATTTAATACTAAATGTTAAAAACTCTTGAAGGGAGGATTGGTAGGGGGTGGGGGGGAGGGTTGGGACTGACCGCGCGGCTGGAAGAGGGGGAAGGCAAGGTGGGGTGCTTTGATTGACAGATAGTGTTGTGAAGAATATTATTTTTTTTTATTAACTGAAGATATTTGTTTTGGCTGCAGAATTCATACAAATTACCCGGTCAGAATATAATTTACATTGTAGATTAACATAATTTGTTGATCATTTTGAATAAACATCATATATTTTGCATTAATATACATTTGAATAAAAAATTTCTCGGTAACTATCAATATCTTTTATTGCAAATATGACATTTATATTCAAAAATATTCCCTAAGTCTTCTAAGGAATCCAGCAATGTCAATTGTATTATCTAACTTTGATTTGATATTATTTATTTGGAAATTTAGTGGTTTTCCCCCAAAAATTTCTCTGAGAGGGAAGAGCCGGCAGTGTAGTGTGAGAGGGGGAGGGAGTTGAGTCCATTATTTGAATGGACATTAATTTGGCGACTGTATTTCTCTATTTCTCTTAAGTATTAATTGTGTGCATGTACCATCATAAAATTAAGATGTTATTTTTACTAGAAGATAGGTATTGTGTTGGAAAAATTGGAGTTTGGGGGTCAGCTGGTCTCCATTTCATTTAATCCCATATGTTATGTTATTCACTTTACGCGTTTCTCACTTTCCGTGGTACCCTGTGGGGTACCCTGTGGGTTACATTAACCGCGTAAAGTGAGGGTTGACTGTACTGTATTAGATTAATTTCAATTTAAGTACAATATACTGTAGTACTGTACTGTACATGTGTCCAGAAACATTAGTAAACATCCTGTAATTATTTAACATAACATAATACTATAGTACTTTGATTTTATGTACCAAAAATAATAAAGTTCCAATTATTGTAGGTGGCAAAAAAGACATGGATGAAAAATTTCAAAATCTTGTGCAGCAAGATCCTCGTCTTCATTCAAATTATAATTTTGTAGCCTACAAATGCAGAACTTGTAGGTAAGTATTTGAAGACAACACTGGATTTTTTGTACTTTTCTCAGTCTTGTAATGTAATGATGTTTAGCCTTTAAATTTTGCCAGGCACAGCATGGATATTTTCCTTCTGTTCTATCCCTGCAAGCAGGTCAGTATTATCTTTGTTATATCAGATACTTACATCGGGTGTTCTCAATCAATCAAGAGTAGTACCATCCTCATATCTTGAGGGTTGGCAACCACAGTCCTTCACTCTTAACGTTTTCAGGCTGTTTTTACCAATCCCCCCATGATTATTTTATCTCTGGGGACCCAGCTTTTAATTTCATTCATCCATCTCAGTTTCTGCCTTCCCCTGGTCCCCATAACCATAAATGCCTATAAATATTTCTTTTATTTTAACCAGAGTATTTCTTTTTTCTTTTTCTGTACCTTTGAAGTATTACTCTTGATGTTATTGCTGACCTTAGTACAGGGGTACCTCTTATTTGTTTTCCTTTCAATGTAACATTCGCCTATAACACACATATCAATGGCCTTTAACCCTTTATGGTGTCTGCTGAACATCTCCACTCTTCTTATCCATACAACAGTCCTTGCCAGTCTCCACACTTCCTATTCCATACAACAGTCCTTGCCCTTTTTCAAATTGAAGTTAATGTCCCTTTTCATTAGGTCCTTTAGATTATTAAATGCAGTTTTTGCTTAATCTTTTCTGGTTATGATTTCTTTCGCACATCTACCATCACAGCTAATGTTATTTCCCGATCATACAAAATTTCTCACATGTTTAAATTTCTTGTTACCTACCATATTTTTTTTATTTTGGGATTTATTTACAATTTTGAAACAACCATTACTTTCGTCTTTACAGCATTAACTCTTAACTCATACTCTCCACCTTTTTCCACCAATTTGTTGACCAGTTTTTGTAACACCTCTACTGTACACTACCGTACTCATGGTAATAGCAGTATTACAGTAAAACCTCGATTAACCGACCCTCGATTAACCGACTTTTGGGTTAAACGCCGATCCCTGATCCCCCCCCCCAAAAAAAATTTAATTATGGAGATTAGCCCACCCAGGCACAGGTCACTGACCCACATCGGGGCCTGGGGGGCAATAATAATAATAATAATAATAATAATAATAATATAATAATAATAATAATAATAATAATAATAATAATAATAATAAAGAAATGCAAAAATGAAAAAAAAATCAAGAGTGAGAAACAATATACCTATATGTATATTGTGCTGTCAATAGTAAGAGAAATAATTGAGGCCCTGCAATTGTGTGTAAATGAGGTAGAAAGTCAGATCAGCAACCTGGGACTTGATCACAATTTTCGTGATGCCATATGTTCATTGACTTTATTTACTACAGTAAAACCTCGATTAACCGACAACATATGGGGGGAAGGGGCCGACGGATAATCGAAAAGATCGGTTAATAGTACATAAAGTCTACGGAAATAAAACATACATTTTCAAAGTACCTTTTCCTAACCTACAGTGGTCCCTCGGTTAGCGAACACAATCCGTTCCAGCAGGTTGTTCGTTTACCGATAAATTTGTTAACCGAAACCATTGTTTCAATGGGTTTATGGGTAATTGGTTCCAGCTCACCGAAAATTGCCTAAATTCAACAAAAATGGTAGAAAAGTTCACTTACTTTGAGGTGTGTATGTAGAAGGCTCCTGGATGATGATGATGATGATGGGAATTAGAATGAGGGTGGAGGAGAAGGAAGAAGAGAAGGCATTGGGGTGGAAGAGAAGTCACCCCATGGCACCATTTCACCCATAAAATTTTAGTTCTCTTGGTGTATTTCAAGATTATTTTCTTTAAATCAACACTGCACTGCATTATATATTGTCAATATGTAAAATATATTTCCAAAATGACCAATAATTTGGCAGAAACACAGAAAAGCATATAGTTGAAGGGAGTCTCAAGCAAGATGTTACATCGAAGTGAAAACAGAGAGACTAGCGCCTGTTTGCTGTGTTAGAGAGCTGGATACACTTTATTAAACTAGTCCACTTTGCAGCCAATTGCTGTTTAATAATTGTTAAAATGACTAAAAAATTGAATATTAAACTTTTGATGTGAATACAGTTGTGTGCCCACTTATAGCAGTCAGGTGAACCCAAGAGGGTCCCAGCGTTAAAGTGAAGGAAATCGCGTTAAGTGAACAACAGAACATGGGATTAATTCCAATAGAAACCGGCCCGACCCCCAAACTCCACTTTTTGAAGGCACATACCTATGTTGTAGTAAAAATAACATCTTAATTTTATGATGGTACATGCACACAATTAATACTTAAGAGAAATAGAGAAATACAGTTGCCAAGTTAATGTCCATTCAAATAATGGACTCAACTCCCTCCCCCTCTCACACTACACAGCCGGCTAACAGATGGTCGGTCGGTCCCTCCCTACCCCCCCCGACCCCCCACCAACCGTCCCAAGGAGATGTGTGGGATAACCTCAAACTAAAGTTAGGAAAATATAATTGACATTGCTGGATTCCTTGTAAGACCAGGAATATTTTGAATATAAATGTCATATATTTTGCACAAAAGATAACATAGTTACCTAGAGAAAAAATTTTATCTAAAATTTGTATGTTTAATGAAAAATATATGATGTTTATATTCAAAATGATCACCAAATTATAAGAATTCCAGCAATGTAAATTATATTCTGACCGGGTAATTTGTATGAATTTTATGAGCTAAAACAAATATCTTCAGTTAATAAAAAAAAAAATAATCTTCACAACACTATCTGTCAATCAAAGTACCCCACCTTGCCTCCCCCCTCTTCCAACCGCGCGGTCAGTCCCAACCTTCCCCCCCACCAATCCTCCCTTCCAGAGTTTTTAACATTTAGTATTAAATAATACCTCAGATTAAAGTTAGGATAATATAATTGACATTGCTGGATTCCTTATAAGACCAGGAATATTTTGAATATAAATGTCATATATTTTGCACAAAAGATAACATAGTTAATTTGAGAAAAATTTTTATCTAAAATTTGTATGTCTAATGCAAAAATATGATGTTTATATTCAAAATGATCATCAAATTATAAGAATTCCAGCAATGTAAATTATATTCAGACCGGGTAATTTGTATGAATTTTATGAGCTAAAACAAATATCTTCAGTTAATAAAAAAAAATAATAATTCTTCACAGGGTAACAGATGGTCGGTCGGTCCCTCCCTCCCCCCCACCCCCCACCAACCGTCCCAAGGAGATGTGTGGGATAACCACTAAATTTTAATAAATAATACCTCAAACTAAAGTTAGGATAATATAATTGACATTGCTGGATTCCTTGTAAGACCAGGAATATTTTTAATATAAATGTCATATATTTTGCACAAAAGATACCATAGTTACCTAGAGAAAAATTTTTATCCAAAAATTGTAAGTTTAAAGCAAAATATATGATGTTTATATTCAAAATGATCACCAAATTATAAGAATTCCAGCAATGTAAATTATATTCTGGCCTGGTAATTTGTATGAATTTTATGAGCTAAAACAGGCAGTCAGGCAGGGTGGCGGGTGGGGCAAATCTAAAAATAGCGTCTCGGACACTCACCGCGTATATGTGGAAAAAATCCGCGTTAAGTGAAAGTTCAGCTTTGGCAAGGCACCGCGTATATGCGAAAACGCGTTAAGTGAAACTGCGTTAGGCGGGGTTTAAACTGTAGTATAAACTTCTTGATATTTACTAAAATAGTAAGGAATTTAAGTCCTAGAACCGATTAATGTATTGGCGGACTAATACTAAAGCTGGTTGACCGGCCAGTGCAAGCGAAAACATGTTGAGGTCGGTTCATAAGAAATTCGTTAACCGAATTTTTGTTCGTTAACCGAATTTAAGAATCTTATGGGAGGCAGTTCGTTAACCGAGGCGTTCGTTAACCGAGGGACCACTGTACTTCATTCAAGTCCCTCTATTCATTTTTGTGCATTTTCCATTCATATTTCAATACAATTTGCTTTAAAACATTAACCACTTTAGTAAACAAATATGAACCAGCACAGAAACCGTGAATAAAAAATGGAAAAGTCAAAGAACATAATGTCATCACAAAAATTGTGACCAAGTCCCAGGTTGCTGATTTGACTTTCTGCCTCATTTACACACAATTGCAGGGTCTCAATTGTTTCTCTTACTATTGACAACACAACTTACATACAGGTACATTGTTTCTCACTCTTGATTTTTTTCATTAAAAGCATTTCTTTATGGTTCTTTATTACTATTATTATTATTATTATTATTATTAGCATTAGCATTATTAATATTATTACATTATCGCCCCCCAGGTCCCGATGTGGGTCAGTGACCTGTACCCGGGTGGGCTAATCCCCGTAAAAAGAAAAACAACATTTTTTTGGGGGGGGGGGGTTCGGGATTGACGGTTAATCCGAAAGTCAGTTAATCGAGGTTTTACTGTATTAACCGACCTTTCGGATTATCCGTCGGCCCCTTCCCCCCATATGTGGGCGGTTAATCGAGGTTTTACTATCTACGTTGCGTATATTACATTACTTTATCATTAACTTTTAATCCTTCATTATCACTTATAACTTATCATTAAGTATTATGAATATATATTATACAATATTAACGTTAGAACACAGCCTTGTCTTACTCCCTATGTAACTGTGAACCAATAAGTAAGTTCATTATTTACTAACACTGCAGCCTCCTGTTCTCGGTAAAGGATTTTTTTTTTAATTTTAATATTTCCTTCATTAATGTCTATTTTTATCAAATACTTCAATAAGTTTATTGTGTTTTACATAACAAAACAATTTTAAAGGTCAACAAAGTAGATATAGAAATTTCTTTGGTGGTGTTCTGCAAGTTGTCTCTGTTGTCCATGGCAGCTGGGCCACTCGCCCACTCCGCCTCAATCGGGGATAAACACTTGTCCGTTTCATGCGTGTGCTACTCTGCTCTCTTAACAACTGTGCTCCTTGT